ACATACATACATACATACATACATACATACATACATACATACATACATACATACATACATACATACATACATACATACAAAATATTTGGCAATTGTTCTTTCTCATGAGACCCCCCTTACCTTGGACCTTGGCTGAAATGACCCAGAAGGAAACCTTTCGATTCCACCAGATTACACTCACCAGCTTTTTGGCTCAAGGTTTTTGCCGAAGCCGCCAAGCGGCCAATTTTTGCAATGAGCCGTCAGAGCGGGACTTCAAGGGGTGAGCATGGCGGCGCAGTGGGTTCCTCTCTCACTGATGTCAAGCCTAGCCTGCAGCCCAAGGAGCTTCCTGAGGAAGAGGAGGTTCCCATGGAAATGGACTTCAAGTTGCCCGTGCAACCGCTCTTTGACCGGCTGCCCTTTCGAGACTCCTTCAACTCCCGCACCGAGTACATCTCTCAGGATGCTGCTGCGGCCCCTAACGGGCTCACACATGAGATCCTCTTTCGCACCAATACGTGTTTCGTGTTTCCAGGGTGGTTTTGGTCAACATCTCCTGAGGTGTCCAAGTGGAACCCAAGAAAGGTCTGGTGCCCCGGTGTTTTGGATCCACAAGTCCTAGGACATACTTGGGCGAGTTGAACCATGCCATGCAGATCATCGAAAAGAGTCATCCAATCCTCAAAAAGATTGTTCGTCGTCATCGTGGGGAATGGTCGCTCTTTGGCATGCGCGATTGGCTCAGCGGAGCCTGATCGAACCCGATCCAGTATGGCGTGAGTCAAGCCGCCCCAAACCGGGGGGGGGTACGATTCGGTGGAGTCTGTGTGCAGTGATGAATTCAGTCTAGTTTTTGTTTCCGTTTTTGTCTCCCAGAGTCTGCCCTGACCCACTGGCGCACTGGCTGTGCGCAAGGCAGCGCTGTGGGTGCTTGAACCCCAGCCACAGTGGTCACAGGGAATTTCTTTTTAAGGAAGCTTCTGATTGAAGCGTCGAGACATTTTTGACATTTCTTGTTCCCGATTCCCTGAATTAGACACAGCACTTCCAAGGGCATGCTGCACTGCAAGACATGTCGTGAGGGTGCTGTTTTTGTGCCGCAGAGTCTCCGGAAGTTTGAAACGGACGGATGGCTTTCGACACTTGTTTGACCAGGTTTTTGACCGGTCACGGGCTAAACCAGCCCAGACACATCCCGCAGATGGAAACAAATGTGTTGAGAATCACAGTGATCAAGGGAAGTGGAACTTGGCAGGTGAGCGACGAAAGAACTACTGGTAATTTCTCGCCAACTGCGAAGGAGCTCGAATTAGCCCATTTCGTCAGCATGACGAGCGGAGGGGGGGCAACATTCACTGGACCTCCATGACGCAAAGAACCCCTTTTTGGTTGGAGAGAGGCGGCAGGATACTATATCTTCGTTGAAGTGGCGGGCCCCCAAAACCCTCCCAAGGCGAGAAACCTCGCCCGCTTGTTCCTCGGTAGGTTTCTCGGTTCCAACTCTCTGAAGCCGTGAAGGAAACTGTTTCGATGGTGTTCTTTGTCCTCCTCGAAGCGTTCTTTTTTCGACTCGAGGTTCATTTTGGGGCGCTCGAGCACTGTGGCCATTGTCCTCACGATCCTCTTTGCCATCCTGAACGGGGCGCCCATAGGACCTCCACGGGTGAGATTGGGCAAGCGAGCCCACCTGCAAGCTGTTCTATCCTCTTCCCGTGGCTCCTGCCGTTCAACCCACGTCTCGAGGAGCTAGCTTCCTGACGGACAACATCCTGGGCTTGGTCATCGACTACGATGAGCTGCGCACCGGGACTCGCAGCGAGGCCACCTTCACGATGTTCGCCAGCTTCATCCCTAAGGTGGGTCGAAGCATGTCGAAGCACAGAAGCGGTAAAGACAGGTGTGTTGAGCAGATGGAGGGTCATTTTTTGGGTAGTCGAGGTCCCTGCCTTTGCATGTCAGAGCTGGTCGATCAAAGCCTTGGATTTGAGTGAACTTCAGTCACCCAGCTACCCACTGTTCGAGAACAAGATCAGCATGGTTCAAACAACAGACCCCACCATCATTTCCTGCCCAGCAAGACCGAGCAGCCATCGTGGAGAGTTCGTAGGTGTGTGAAGCTTTGTCTAACCCACGAAGGGGCGCGTTGTGAAGGATAGGATTGCCTCAACGCGAAGCTCTGTAGGTCGTCCCGGACCCAAGATCCACTCTCTGAGAGGTTTGATGGGCTTGAGTCGGCTTGAGTGCCAACTGTTATATACCAATCAACTCCATAAACCGGGTTGATCAAATCATGAATCATCCGTGCTGGGCGCTCGTTCTGACTGCGAAGAACTCGCAGTCACTACCCTGCAGTTCGCCTCCAGATCTTCCGACACCCTCGCTGTCGGCCCGACGGCTCGCCACACGACGGCCCTCCACGACGGCTGGGCACCGCATGTCGGCCTGCCGAGGTGGTGAGCGTCCCGGCGTCCGCCTTCCCGTTGACGCTGCTGGCCTTGATGGGCTTCCGGGACCCCGTGCAGGGCGAGCTGCAGACGCAGACGGACGCTGTGCAGTGGGGTATCCGGACGCTGGGCGGAGCGAGATGGGCGCGAGCAGTCGGGTGGAGGGGCTATGGCAGCTATGGGTCACTGGTGGAGTGATGTGGAGTGTATAGGGATGATTGAGGCGATGTGGAGTCCAGGGGAAGTCGCCGTAACACTAATGGTGTTGTTCCTTCTTCAGGACATCATCTTTAATCCGCAGACCGCGACAATTTGGGTGGAGTTTTTGTCGGTGCCCGATATGTAAATCTGGAACAGGCCCAGCAACTGCAGAGGAACACACGTCAAACGCAGGGCACCTTCACGGCGCCCTCTTCCATAAAACCAAACAAGAACGCAGCTTCGTTGAATCCCTTCCGTGTTCGTTGGAATCCCCCCTCTTCGTTCCCCTTCCAGGGCCAAGGGCATCACTTTGGTTCGAGGCACCGAGGCACCAGGCGTCAACACGGTGTGCCCAGGATCATGTTCTCGGTGGTGCCTACGATCCTGGCGTGGCTTGGACGGAAGCAGAACGGATGATCCTGAGACATCTTCAGGTCTTCAAGCCTTCAGGGCCAGTTCTTCAGGGGTTGAACTTTGTCCCGGATCTCACTTAGGCCATCCTCCACACATATCCACACTATATCTAACAAAAGCGCCCGCCGGTTTTAGTTTTCTTGTGTCATCCAGGATCCATTGCGTCGCTGGGACTGCGACTCGCATTTGGCACTCGTTTTTTCCCGTCGGACCTCGGACCTCGATCCTCGCCCAGCACGCCGAGGTTGACCAGCTTTACGCTCAAAAGCTTGCATTTTCCCTTCAAGGAGAGAGTTTGGGGCCAGCTACGCTGGAGGGTCATAGGCTCATGTATGATCATGGGGTGTTTCTGGAGGAAAACAAAAATCGAAGAGATGTAGATAAGTGAGAAGGGCGGGGCAAGTTGGGAAGATAAGTTCGTGCCCCCTCGAGTCAGAGGTGGCTATAGCTGTGTGAAGTGGGGATGTTTTTGTAGATGAGATGACCCGCTTTTCGGCAATGTCGACTGTTGATGAATAAAGATCCTCAGAATTGTTTTACCTCTCTGAATTTTTTTTGGGTCAGGCTCCCCCAAAAAACAATTCAGGCGATCCTTCAGTTAACCATTCCGAAACCAATCCTCGCTATTGAAAGAGCCCTAGCCCTAGTTAACTGTCACGGGATACCCTATCTATTCGCCTGTTTCCCTATACTGTATGCATCTATCTAGTTATACTGTGTACATAATCACGGATCCAGGTTGCGTGTTTTGGTGCTCCACTCTTTTTATCCGGTTGGACCCACTGACCTCCCGCCAGACTGCTTCGCCACCCTTGGCGCACCTGCCAGGACTTGGCCAAGGCGGATGCGGAGATCAAAGCGGGCTTGGCCTTGCGAAAGTGGGGAGGCCGAAGGTCCTCCAGGTGGAGCCAGGTGGAGACCTGGTCCGTTCGGGAGTAAAGAGTAGTACTGATACGCGTCGCTTGATTTGCTTTGTTGCCATTTCCCGCGGAGCTGAGAGTGCCAGAGCTCTCTTGTGCCTTTTGCTCCTAGAAAGGGGCCCCCCGCAACCACTTCCTGACGATCTTTCCCACTGGGTGTGCTCAGGCTTGGAGAGCCGTACCGCGACCCCTTGGATGCGAGTTACAGGCACCACGAAAGACGGTCAGAAAGGTCTGAAAGGTCAGAAGGCAAACGCATGAGGAAAGGACACCTTGCCTGGTATGTAAACAGCCAAACTCCACCAGCATCGAAGAGGTCAAGTTACTTTTGGTGCGATGGTTTGTAAGGCATTTCACGTGCTTGGCTCAGATCTCTGTTACTCTTCTCCGGCCCTTTGGGAGCCAACCCAACGATTAAGGATTTGGTTCCTACTCGGCGAAGTGTTGAGGATGGGCGTCCAAAAATGGTCCCTACTCCGGTGGAGGACGTTCACCATTTCACTTCTTCACCAAAGCGACCCATGTTTAAATTGGGCGCAACTCTAGTTTCCTAATCATCCCAATCTGATTCAAAGGAACTTGGCAGACTATTGACTATTGATCACATCTTGGAGCGGTAGGAAGGCCACCCCTCCCTCAGTCTTGGATGTTCTTCTCCTCAGCGTGTCGGAGGCATCCGGACCACGCGTCCGAGACGCCCAGAAGGGTGGGCACCCTCTTGGATCACTTCCCAGGGGTCGAGGTGTGCGGAAGCCCAGCGAGGAGTGCGAGGAGTGTGCGAGGAGTGGGAGTCTCCAATGGGTGTGCGACGTGTGAGTTGGACCTCCTTGGTTGACCCACTTTTCAATCTTATGTGCAGTGCTGTAACCGCATCTTGGCTCCGCTTTGTTCTGAGGTCAAAGGACATTTGGGAACGTCGAACTTTCCACACAAACATCAAAGAATCGGACAGTCGCACTTGTTCTGCACAAACATCTTCCACACCAAAATCTCTGCATGCTTCCTCTCCTCTCCTCAGGGTAGCTGTGTCAAAGCCTGGGTCAGCTGATCCTCCAAGTCCCGGGTTCCGCCGTGGCTTCCCAGGCTCGAGCGGCTCCGCGCCGAGGGCGCCGCTTTCTTGAAGTGGCGCTGCCTGCGGCAGCTGGCAGGGCTACTGAGCTTGGCGCCACCGGGCGGCAGATGGGAGGAGCTGTGAGGAGCTCGGGATGGGGATGGGGTTCCTTGTAATGTAGGTAGGGCCAACCCAAATGTTTTCCGTTGAGTAGGTCAACCAGTCAACCAATTTACAGTATACCAATTTATAGCAGGGTTTTTTTGGACTCACAGCTCTGTATGGAAGTGGAAACTTTGGAAGGGCGTGTTTGGTTGTGATTTAGGGAGGTGCAGAGTGCTAGCCTTTTGGCACAGCAGCCGCAGCGCTGAGGTTTGCTTGTGGCCTATGCACTGGCCTCACTATGGTCTTGGGCTATCTGAATAACAACAAGCGACTTGGCCCTGGGGCAGCAGGAAAACTGCAGGTCAGACGGGTTTGAAGGACCATGGTGACATCGGTTTGGGGCTCATTTTGCCTCGTTTGCCTGGTCAACCCCGGGAGCGGCACGTGGCGACGAGGCTCAGTTGGCTTCCGTCCATCTTGGTGCTGCTGACGGGCTTAGGCCAGGACGGGGGTGACGGAGGACGTCACACGCAAAAAGAGATCGTGGATAGGGCTTTGACCCAGGTAGGAAAATGTATACGGTACATACTGTATATATAAACATAGAATTACTGGTTACTTAAATTTGTTAGTTTACACTTCTACACGGAAAAAGGTTGGATTTCGGGAATTCATCCATCGACATAAAGGTCGATATGTTCGATATGCAGGGGTGGAGGCGGTTTGCCGGCAGCGCCAGCGTCGCGTCGGTGCGAGGTATCCTCTTCAGCCTCGTGGCCTCTTGGCTTTCACTGGAGGCCCTTAGATGGGGAATCAGCCTCTTCAGTAGGTCAGACCCGGTCAGACTCTAGGTTTTTTGGGTTGCAACACCAGGCAGAGAGGCTGCAACCTTGGGCCTTGGCTCGCAACACTTGTCCAGTCGCAGGTGGCTGCTCAGCGAAAGGGCCGCTTTCGAGCCTCATACTTTGTGCAAGTTTGTGAAGGCGAAGTGCCTAAGTGCCTGAAACCATTGGACTCCATTCATGACCATTCTCTTCATTTGGTCCAGGTCCGTGGCAGACCAAGAAAGGGGAAAAAAGCCACGGAGAGACTTACCAGGACCATCCAAGGGGTGTCCTGGCTGGACTACCCCACACTACCTATAGGGACAGGGCACCGCTTGGATGGTCCAGGTAGGTGTCCTTTTTCGTGCCAACCTGGGCCGAGCGATCTTCGCATGCCCAGGCCGGCCTGCGCTTGCGGGCGGCGCTCGCACTGGAAAAGCTGCTTCTAGAGCTGGGCGTGGAGGTGGTCGAGGCCGACCCCACGGTGGCGTGGAGGTGGTCGATGTCGGGGTTTGTGCAGAAGTTGAGTCAGTGAGTCAGTGAATCATGAGTGTGCAAAGAACATGGAAGAACAATATCCCTACCCTCTTAGGTACACTTCTGGGGGGGGGACCCCCAAAAATGTAACTTACAATTTCCGGGAGACCCCATAAATGTATGTTGACCCCCCCTCGTTTTGGGCCCTACTTATTCAAGTAGAGGCCATATTCATGGTCCCCCCACCCCCAGATTTTTGCTGTGTTTGGCTATGTCCCTGCGTGCATGTTCCTGGGAATTGTTCAGGAAATGAGGTGCTGGCTGGTGTGTGTCAGTTAGATTTTTTGGGGGGGGGGCTGGAGAAAATGTAACTTACCACGTCCCACGTCCTAAGTTACATTTTCTGCCCCCCCCTTGAAAATCAATGAGGTAAGAAGAAGCAAGAAGCAGTAAGAAATAATGCTAAAACAATGAGGTTTGCTTGGCCGAATCAGCGGCTCAACGGCACAAGATGTCATCAGAGATCATGACAAGAGTTTTTTTAATAGTTTGTGCGCATTCAGTGTGAGGGTTAGATGTCATGCAGGATATGCAGTTCACATTCTAACAAACCAAAAAAATTAAGCTACATTTTTTTGGGATATGAACACCAAATGTAGCTAACATTTTTTAGGACTTACAGGAAACATGTAAGCTTACATTTTTTAGGTTCACTTTGCATACCCCCCCCAGGGATACATTTTTTTAGGTCCCCCCTATTAATATGTAGGGAAGAACAATCATCAGCATTTTGAAGCTGAAAAACTTCGAACACGTCTTACTGGTCATCTGCTCATCTAGCTTTTTGGATAAACCTCACACACAGTTCTTGTGCCGCTTTTGTTGTGAAACAATCGTTTCTTTCGCCTTTTCTCCGGCACAGCGAAGCCACGTGACAAGTGGGTGGGCTGTTTTATGAAGGGGGGGCCGGACTGGATGGTTCTCCTCATCAAGGTTAAGGTTTTCGGGGCCACGCGTCAGCCCAGGCGACCAGCACCCGGCGGCGTGCCTTGCAGCAGGTGCAAACATCGAAGGGAACGCACGGTTTTTGGAGTTCGGCCATGTGGCTTCACCATGACTCACTGGAGCTATGTATGTAATTAATCAAATAATGGTGTTTGAAGCAGGACTGCTTTGCAAGCAACATGTAATTCTTTCAGGGTACGAGGCTCTGAAGGCAGAGAATGCACTATCACTTTGCAGAGCTTGTGTGTTTGAAGTAGTGACTGATGTGGCCCGTCATTCGGGGAGAGGGAGGAAGGAAGACACACAGGAACTTAGGAATGAACACTTTCAGTTAGTGCTTGGTCATAATAAGGGTTTCGGAGCAGCAAGAGGACAACCTGAAGAACTCATATACCCCTGCCTAGCGGTAGCATGTCAGGCAGGAATTTTATTGAATTGTAATTTAGGGCCCCAGGTGATGTCCTCATAATGTCCGACTCATCATTTGAATCACCTTTCCAAGCCTTGGGCTCCAAGCACGTTGGGGTGGAAGAGGGCTCCAAGCACCGACTCCCCTCGCCAGGGCGACCTGTCGCCCCACGTGGTGGAGCGGATCGCCGTCTGGACGGCGGAAGCGTGGCACAGTTGCAGTGCAGCGGGGGGTTGGGCAAAGATGTAGCTGGGGTGTGGAGGGAGACCAGGAGCTGGGCTTCAAACAGATAGATTTTTATTATCCAAAGGACCTGATGGACCCCATGGACCCTGCTAAAACTGTCCAGTTTCACTTCATAACCACAGATCGAGAATCAGCGATTTTGCCATGGGGCTTCACCATGGGTTTCGCCATGCTTCGCCCACTTCCCGGTCAGGCCATCGAAAGCACTTCCAAAGCACTTCGTGGCGCACCGAGGCAAAGCTTTGCCGCCCATCAGCGCTCCGTGATGTCGGTGGTGTCAGCACCTTCAGTGCCAGGCAGCACCAGTAGCAGTAGCCAGGAGCACAGCTGAGCGGGCCGCCCGCTGCGTGGCTGGGGCGTCGAAAAAGCCAAAGAACAGCGACGAAGGATTTGACAAAGGCCTCACCAGAGGTGGCAAAAAAGCACGCCTGAACCCTCGACTTGAGCCATGCCGGCGTGCTACAGCTTAGACACCTCATACCTCGCGATATGGGGCTGAAGAAATACATCGCGATTTTCAGATATTTGATACGATTTTCAATTCGATGTGCAGTTACTTCAATAGTAGCACGCAGGCTCTTTTCAACATGCTTTCCGATTTGCTCGACACCTGCTTGAAGGAGTGTGCATGAACATGCTTCCAGGGAGACAAGGGAGCCTTGTCTCCTTGCAATGTGCTAGTTTGTAGGTCGTAGACTGTTAGGCAGCTCTCGATGCGCTCTTGTGATCCCCACGCGCAACTCTTCTGCGTGTTCCGCGAGAGCTGGCGATGATAGTGGAACAAACTCCAGAAGTGGAGCCCTCAACGAGTTTCACACATCACATCAATGGAACATTTTGTGAGAACTCTGTCCGGTATGAGCTGCCCTCTCCACTGTGGGGTCTGATTCTTGGCAATCTTCGCGGCCAACATGGCTGGGGTCATAGGCTGAAAGGGGGTTTGCCCCTTGGCCATGCTAGGATGCCTGCTTGGGGCAGAAAGACCAAAGAAGCAAGGGCAGTGGTCTGGGATGGGATGATTCTGCGTGTCACTTGTGTGAGGTGTATCAGTCTGCAACCTCTTCATGTTGACACACCCATTGATCAAGACAACTTATAATCTTTTCTGGGACTTGTTTGGGACCAGATGATCCATCAAATCCGAGCATTTTGATAACACGACCTATATTTGTCAACCAGCCTTGCCACTACTCTTGGCACCCAAGATTGATCTAGCCATTCTAGGGCATACTCGTAAACTTGAAACATTCTCAAGTGAACACACCGCGACTACTGCCAATAACAACCAGCGAACGTCGTCCCAACCGGGAGGCGCTATGAAGCAGCAGGCGGAGCAGGGTCAAGTTCCGCGGCCTGGCGAGGGGCGGGGGGCCTCGGTTCTTCGAACTCATCCAAATCCCATCCAAATCCCACCCTCAACATCTTCCAAATCCGAATCGAAGAGCGGGCCCAGCTTAATGCTCGCTTCCCCGAACCGATCACGCAACCTTCCAGACCTCATCCGTGACACGCAGACCACCAAAGGCCTCCACCCGAGCTGCGGGCGCTCTACTTCTCAGAGGTCTTTGCACTGGGCGAGGCCGAGGATGGCAGGCGTCGTCACGGCGCGCCCCGTTGCGCGGTCAGCGACGTGGAGTTGTGAGGTGCTCGGGCACACTGAAGACGGGGTTTCTCACGCGCACAAGCTCAGCTTTCGGTTCGGACCGAAGGATGGGTTTTTCAGGGTTTTTCTTTGCGAGTCGCCACTGATCTCTCTTGATTTGTGGCCTTCCACCCCGCGCCAGCGAAAGAACCTTCACGCAGCAATAGGTCCTAGGTGAAACTTTGGAGTTGGTCAGGTTCTTTTTTTAACGGCCAAGCAAGACTTCCTTCATCTCATGCACTTGGTGATGCCAAGCAAGGCTTTCCTGCGCTCCGGTCCATCCGACTGCGGTCGACGTTTGGCTCGAGGGGGCGGAGAGAGACGGGCGGGTCGACCGCTCCCATGGACTCCAGCCAGAGCCACGCGTGGCTCCGGCTGGAGAGATGGGGGACTACAACTACCTCTTCAAGTGCCCTGGTGGGCAAGAGCAGCTCCTAGACTACGCAGCCCCCTAGTAGGAGAGTCGCAAGGCTGCTGTCCAAGGTTTGTATGACCATAAGGTGCGCACACGAGACTACAGACTGAGATGCATGACCTTCATGATCCGGGCTTGGGCGGGTCTTGCGATGAACAAACCTCCAGTCTCAAGGCGATCAAGGCATTTCTGCCAGGGTAGGCTGTTCGAAAGGAGTTGCCCCAGCACTGCCCAGATACTGTAACCTGTGAAATCTGGTTTCCACTGTTCAGATTGTTCAGCTGTAAGTGACGTTTTCATGTTGCCTCGTGCGGACACTGAGGTACATCATTGAACCTTGGCTTGGCAGGGGGGGGCGTGCCAGAAGTCGTGGACACACGATAGTAGCACCGGAACCTGTTGCATTTGTTGCCAATCAGCTTGTGGCTTTCTCCAAGAAATCTGTCCCCAAGAACCCACGGGGTGCGCTCGGTTTTCTCCGCTGGCAGCGGTGAGGTCGGCTGTTTGCTGAGGTCGGGGACGCCGGTGTGGGGAAGTCCTGTCTGCTGCTGCAGTTCACAGACAAGCGCTTTCGAGCGGAACATGCCGCACGCCTGCACCACGGGTGGGTGGATTTGGGATGGGCTTCAGGGACTGCACACCGAAAGCTAAGAATAAGAACATATCAAACATGAAAGAGAAGGTCTTATATAAAGGTCTTAAGAAAACAGAGAAAAAAGACATAGAAACAGGTTACGGGTTAAAGGCATAAACAGAAAGAGACAGGCCTAAAGATCTAAGTTAAAGAACACGAAGAAACAGGAACCAGGTTTCAAAGGTCAAAAGAAAGGTGTCAAGGACACAAGGCAGACGTAGACATAGAAAACGGCTTAATGGTCAAAAGAAACAATAACAAAACAATGTCTAAAGAAGAACCGGCCTAAAGGTTCAAAGGAAAAAACAGGGCTGTGGGGGGGGCAAGGGGCCGGCAGGGTGTGCCAGATTTTTGACAGCCTTCAGGGACAACTTGACTCAGCACCAGATTGCAGTTCCATGGAGGATAGGAGTGCCCAGAAGATCCAACTCATTGACTGGGTCTTAAAAACCACCCCCTGCCATGGAACTCCTGCAGGTTGCTGCTAGAAACTGCAGGTTGAGCTTAAGAAGTGCTGCACTGGTCGCCACAGTGTACTGGGTCGCCTCGGGTCGCCTCGGGGCCCTTACTTACGCCTCCGCACCCTGGAGAAGCGTGGCTCCTGCGCACTGAGGACATGACGATTGGCGTGGCTCAGCTTCAGTTCAGTTGCTTCGCTGGGGGCGAGACAGGGCCTACGGGCCTACGGAAGTCATTTGGACGTCTTGCCGTTTCTTTTTTCCACTTGGCGAGGGGCCACGAGTGGCCAAGGTAGGGTGAGGTGTGAACTTCAATCACCTGGAAGGCCAGCTTCAAAAGGTAGATCGTTAGATCTGCTTCCCCCATGGCTCAGGTGGAGTTTGGACATCGCTTCGTTTCATCCTCAGCTGGCTGGGCAGGGTACGTGTGCTCAGGAGGAACGGCTGTGGAGCAAGGCTGCTTTGGACAATCACTTGTTTCCAGACCTTTTATTGTCATGACCATTTACAGATCTTTGAGGTGGACGGCCCTCCAACAGATGCCAATTAGATTTACAATGATTACATAGTTCTTGAACACCCCTGATATCTGATGTTGATTTGGCCTACTGAACTTTGAGACAGACCTGTTGGGTTTGCCAGATTGAAAAAACACATAGAAAAGCCTGCACAACTTTAAATCACGTTTTTCATGGCAGTCCCGCCATCGCCGTCGCCGCCACGACACTTCAGAAGTCAGGTTGATATCGAAGCAGAGCGCATCAAGCTCCAAATATGGGATACAGCTGGGCAAGAGGCTTTCAGATCAATTACGTTGCATGGCTCAATGACAGCTGGGCTGAAGCTGAAGGGTAGAGCAGTTGGTGATCAATGATCATCTTCCCATCTCTTCCCAGACGCGTTTGCGGTCACGTCGTCCAGGATTGTTCCAGGGCCGGCATATGGGGGGAAAGCCGAAATCTTGCAACCCTTTCCTCTTTAACAAAGGCCCTGGTGAGTGGAAGTTCGCATCTGAGGCGCGCCTACTACCGTGGTGCGACCGGCGGCGTGGACTGCAGGGGGGCTGGGCTGGGGAATTCAATGGATGTGGAAGTGGTCATTGCTGCTTCTGCAACACTTGCTGATTCCAGCAGCAATTGCTCCATGCTTTCCCATTTCGTGTCAGCCAAATTCAATCTGCTCTATGGTATGAGGTGGCCCCAGCAGTAGTGACCACAGTGGCAACTTGGGTAGGAGCCTTCAAGTGTTGTGTTATCATGCACTGGTACTTCAAAGCACCTTCTGACCACACCTGGTCCCAACTTCTTGTGCAAAACCACAGACCGGGCACCGTGGCATCCCACCATCTCATCTGCGCGTCACGGACGCCACAGTCAGGCGCGCTGCTGGTCTACGACATCACGCGGCGGAGCTCCTTCGATCGGCTGGCCCAGTGGCTCATGGATGCACGGCAGAACGCCCAGCCGAAGCTTGGTGGAGAGGTGGAAGGCCGTGGTTTTGGTGCCCACGGTCGGGCAGCTTGTTCCATGTCAATCTATGTTGATACTTGATACAGGAAGTGCGATGGAGATGGGAGACTGTGAGATGGCAGGTGGAGGCAGGTGATGGGTTGATGTTGCGCTACAAATGGAGGTTGCGCTACAAATGGAGGTTGTGCAACTTGTGATATTATATGTATATATATATATATACACTTATACATACACATATTCACACACACACAGATATATATATATATATCATATATCTATATATATATATGTATGTATACTATACACTCCGCCTCAACTCCTGAAGATTCGGCAGTTTTAGACAACAGGCAGTCCGGCATCCTGTGGTTGCCTGGTATCGTCCAACTGTCTGTTTGGCTAGGTGCGGGCACTAAAGCTTCAGCAGGTTCCAGAAGAAGAGAACCCCCTCTTGAACCTCCTCTCCCACAATCCTTCCTTTGATTTTCTCCCCGGTCTGACGATTGATTTTCTGCTGTTTTCTTGAGGAATATGGTCATCATGCTCATTGGCAACAAGTGCGACCTCGACCGCAGAGAAGTGAGCTTCGAAGAGGGCGCCTGGTTTGCCAGACAGCCGCTCGGAGGAATGTGCCGACAGGAGTGGAGATTGGTGAGTGGGGTCGGGTGGAAGGGGGAGAAAATCCCATGCTCACTCAGACAAGTATTCATTTTTTCGAGAGACTGGTCATGGTAGGCCTGTACTAGGATCGCCGAAGCGATTCAGGCCAAGAGGTGACCTCCTTGACCTGGCCGATTCGTGTGCCGACGGAAGAAGTGGCCAAGATAGATGGCTTTAAAATGCTTTCAACAGCATTTGACCATGCTTGACCTTGGGCCCGGCCAGCGGGATCAAATCTGTTTAAAGTCCTTCTGGCCGAAGACCAGCTACATGAGATGCCTGACCACCTCTGAGTGCCTTTAAGGTCTCGCGGCCGCGACGCAGACTGATAGCTGATTGATCGAAAGATGCTGGGGGGACCATTCGCGTGCCCTGCATCAGGAACGGCCTATTCTTTCTGGAGACCTCCGCGAAAACAGGAACGGGGCACGGAACGGGGACAGGTGACAGGCGAACAGCAGAGAGGGTTTGATATGCAAGGGAAGGTGTTGGATCCCATTCACTGTGTGTAATTAAGCCCCGTGGTAGAGGGGAAACATTCTAGTGGTCGGATTGGAGACTGGTGGGGACTTGTTGTGGAAAATGCATGACCATCGAACGCAGCTCTGGAAGTGCCGAGTCCACTGTTCGTCTGCGAAGCTTCGTGTAGGGACAGCGCAGGAACCAGACGGGTGCTCCTGTTCCGGTAGATGGTCGGTCGGCGCCAGGCCAGAACGTGGAAACTGCTTTCCTGGACACCGCCACTTCGCTTGCAAAGGGCAACCGAAATGAATATGAAGTCATGCCATGTCATGCCCAGATGTCCTCACTCGTGGAGAGGGCGGCCCCCATGGTAACGCCAATGCAGAGCTCAGACCCACACAGTCTTGGCCGGAGTCTTGGCACACTCTTCCAACAAACTACCTTGATACTATACGGCCTTTCTCATACAGAGGGGTTGACTTTGGAGATTGACTTCTTCACCTCTCAGCCTCTGTTGCCATTGGCCTTGGCCTCCGTGCTTGGGTGCGAGGCAAAGCAGATCTATGAGAGCCTGAAAGCGGGATTGTTTGACATGACTTCGGATGCTCATGGGATTACCGCCCGGGGCCCGAGAGGTGGAGCGAAGTGAAAAGTGAATAGCAATGGCCTCCAACCTAATAGCGTTGGAAGTCCGAAGGCGAAGTTGAAGTCCAACATGGCACCCACTTGCGAAGAAGATGCATCTGACTGGCACAAAGGATTCCACCTGGACTCGCTGGACACTTCTTGAGCTTCTGGAATTCAAGAAACCTACATTTTCTCCAAAAGATTCCACAACCGATGCATGCCACACCTGCGCCTTTGAAAGCGGCTAGGTCGGCCTGGCACCGACGATCCGGCCGCAGCCGCAGCCGGTGAACTCCCTGCAATTCGCATGTTCCTGAACGGCAGGGATTGGAGAGTTCACTCAGGGGTGCATGGGTGGAGCTGCGGGTTTGGTGGTGGCCGTACTTCATATGGGATGTCGGCTTCAGCCCACTCCATGCAGATGCCGCCTCTGGCTTCCATGTCGCCGGATGTGCGTAGAATGGGATGTCGGACCTCAGAGGATCGCCCTCAAGTGGGTAGCACTGACTGGGCTGAAGAGGGCTGTCGTGGATTTGGCTGAAGAAGTGTCTACAGTTTCGCCTCCATGTTCAAGCACAGCTCCTGATGGCACATATATTGACAGCTTTTACACATTGATGAAACTAATAGTATATTTCATTTGTTGAAACCTGATGCTCCCAGCTTTCCACCAGAAACCAAGCGCTCTTCATGTCTTTTCTTTTCTTGGGCCACCCCTTATTAGAGGCCTGAGAAAAGGAGGCCGCAAAAGACTCCTCCTTCACACTCGCGACCGACCTCTCCGACCCGGTGGCCATGACACACCGATCCAGCGGATGATGTTCAGGCTGTGGCACCGGAGGCGGTTAGGCAGCTCGGGCTCCGCTGATGAAGTCGTGGCGAAGTCGTGGCATACTCAAATTGGACGTGTAGATGAAACATGACTTGGCCAAAGGGCATTTCACTTGATGTTCTGATTCTGATGCAAAAGGGTCTGAGTCTATGCATGTAGACATGCCTCAAGCCTCTGGACAAGCTGGAAGAACCGGGAGCCGGTGGCATTGGTCCATCTGTCAAGGGTAGCACAGCACTCGGTAGGACTCCCTGGGTGGCGAGAATCAAGACCAAACATCTCTGCGTTTGCACCAACGAGTGGGCAAGACTGGAGGACCCGTGTCAACTGGCGGCCTCAACGAGACTTGAGGACCAAAGGACCAGAAACTCCCTTGTCGGTGGAGCCCCCCCAGTGGTGTTTGAGAAAGGTCTGCCAAGAAAGCGTCCAAAGTGAGGGGACCAGGGGGAGTGGAATGGATCTAGAACATGTAGGAGTATGGATCAGATTCCAACACGAACAGTAGACCAGAGCCACCTGAACACCCTGAAGATATGCTCGATATGCTCATTGTGCCATTCTGCACCATTCTATCATTATGCCTATGTCTCACAGTTCTGGGGGACCTTTGCACAACCCACCCACCATGTCCCACAGGAACATGATAGAAAGTTGACTCAGCATGCCCCTTTGAGGCGAAGGGTAGGCTCTGGTGAGCAGCCAGGGCATACGACTGCGCACTGCCTTATGGCGCTCGAGAGCTGAAGAGCTCTACACAAGAGACTTTCTGGGCTTCCAGAAAATGCCCGCAGGCAACATGAGGCCCACAAAATAAGTGTCTAGAATGAAGAGTTTGAAACTTGTTTCTTGTGAGATGTTTCAGCAACTTTTGACCTGAAGTTCCTGGGGCAGGTGCGCCTAGTGCATGAGTCTCACAATTAGGATCTTGCATGGCAGGGCCCAGGCGGACCTGGTTGAAGCGTGTGACATTGTGACACCCGCGTTTGAAGGCTTTACAATCTCTGACCATTGGAATCGCCGCTACTTGGATGCGGTAGCCTTGTTGGCATGTGACTCGCCAATCGTCATCAACTCTTTCATCTTAGACGCCTGGCCCGCCCTAGCCCTGGGCGTCGGACTCCCTCGCGACAGACGTTCGGCTCTCAAAAGCGTGAAAGCATGGGGAGCTGGAACCGGGGATAGTGACCGTTACTGCTCTGGTGTTCGTGCGGCAGCCACACCAAGCACTGATCGCAAACAACAAACCCTGGGCCTCTTCCTACTGTGTGATTTGAGGGCCTTATTTCGGAGTCTTTGGGATTACTTGTGATATTTGGGTGTACTTGTCGCTTAGAATAGGAAGCCCGGTCCTACGACCACAGTTGAGTTTGCCTTTTTTTTGGGGGGACTTGCTTTGGAGAATTCAATCTGTTGAGTATGTATGACAGTATGACCCAACAAAATGCAACACAGGTGGGCTCACAGGGTGAGCTTTTGGGGCCATCCTGCTTCACCAGGTGGGCGCATGTGCACTACCGCGGGCCGGAGGCCTATGAGGTGGGATGAGTCCGAAGCCAAACAGGTGGCACGACACACAGATGATTCTATTGGTGCGTTCTGTCATACGAGTGGGCCCAGCAAAACGCACTTGGCTGAGCGGAGACCAAAATGACCACAAGAAACTGTGTTTGAGCAAAACTTCTGTTTGTGGGATTCAAGGGCTCAATCACTAGAGGCGGCGGCCAGGGTGTTCAATAGGCAAACGCATCCTCCCCATTTGCTCGCCGTTTCGTACAAATCTAGGAGAGAGATCTTTCAACCGTCGGGAGAATGACAACATTTGTCCCTGATTTGATGACTTCCACGAACTCTCGTTACACTGTCAAGTTGCAGTTGCTGGAGCTCCTTCTCCGAAGATCGCCCCTCGCGTGTTTCTCCAGGTAACGGCCATGGCTGCAGCCTTTTCCTCGGACATGCAGGATTCACACCAGTTCAGCAGATGCGTCATTTCCATGCGCTCCCGGCTGGCGTCTGTTTCAACTGGCTGCCTTGGGGGACACCCGGTCGGGCGAGTCGTAGACCGGACGGTGGGCCCTTCCCGTTCTGCGTCGGGTCCGAGTCTCCGGGGGCCGCCGAGGTCACTGGTGCCTTGGTCATCCTTGAGGAGCCCATGGCATTGAGGCGCCTGCGAGCGCGCCGTGGAGGCTGCGAGCGGGTTCTGCTTCGAAGTCGGTGGATCGCGTGGCGTGGGATGGAAGAAAGAGACCAAAGAATCCTAAAGAGGAAAGAACTTGGAACTGAAGGTAACACCAAGGGAGCGCCACAGTGATAAGATGTGATAAGAGTTTCTTGGAGGTCGGTGGGCCTCCTGTTTCCATTGGGGTCTTTGACTCTCATTTCATCCTGTCCCTCTAACGGGCATGTAGCCCAGGAGAAACCCAGTCCTATGGCGTTTCTCCATGTCGTTTCCCGCGCCCTGCGCACAACGCCCGCAACGCATGCGCACAACGCCCCGTCACCCGCCGCGGTGTGACGAGGCGCGCTGGCCTGGTGACACCAGCCTTTGCCTTTCATGGCACGAACTTCGTGAGCCCAAACGCAGCCGACGAGGATTTCCTGGTCATCGATGTCTATACTGTAATAAGTGTTTCTTTTTTTTCTCTGCGCCTCGCCGGACAAAAGAAGGTGAATAGATAGACACCGCAGTTTTGCAGATCGTTGGAGGCTGCTTGATGAAGTTGGGACGAAGAAATTTCCGGTCACTGGATGTACAAAAAGGTTTGCAGGGAGATGGATCAGATACCCGAACCTTCCATTTGGACCCGTTTGGGGGGCGTCATCGAGATCAGATCAGTTGTAGGGTAGGGCAGTTATATACTTTGGTGACCCCCTTATCGCTGCCAGAGTCGGTTCCTTTAAGGCAATACCGCAGTAACCCACGGCCATGCCGTGCGTTGGTCTTGGTTGGGTTGGGTTGGACAGCCACCGAATTTCTTTCGCTTGGCTCAAAGAGTTCGTGCAGTTGGCAATAGATCCAGCTGCGATCAACGACATGTAAGGCAATCCAGCCACACAGAATTCTGCCACTGAACTTCTGCCCAGTGCCCTACACCCAAACTGGCCCCTCCCCCCCCAAACATCTCAAGAACAGACCCTTCCAACCGATCTTGTTGCACTGGCTTTTTGGCTCATCCATCGTGCCCCAAGCAGCGCCCCAGACCTGCTCCGGTTCTGCTCCGGGCCATCCGCCATGGCGAGCCAGGCCACGCCGCAGGTCTACGGCCAGGCGTCGCACGACCCCGCCGCCGAGCTCCAGCGGCAGATGGCCTCGGCGGCGGCGCAGAGCGCGGCGGAGCAGGGCGCACGGGTGGCCGGAGAGAAGGCGAAGCATGGCTTCTATGAAGTCAAGGTGGGAAGATGTGGGAAGAAGTGGCTTCTGGAAGTGAGTCTATGTTCAGCTTTCTTTCTGATTTTGTGTGATATTTGTCCTGCAGACGGGGGGCTTGAGTCTAGATGGAGGTCGACATAGGGAGGAAGAGGGCAGAAGGATGGAACATACAGGAGACAACGGGGCGAGAAGGCTGTAGCATAGTGGTCCTGGTGCTGATGGTCGCTTCATGTTGCTTCCCTTCTTTTTTTGGGATAGCGTTTGGGAAAGGATGGCTTTGTCATGAAGACTGTTCCTTTGTGGAAGTCATGGCAGTTGTCACGCACACCATCTGTGAGAGAACATGGTCACCGCGAGTCCAGTATTCATTACTGCGAAAATGCATTCACTCATACATACCGATAACCGCAGGCCCTTAGTGCTGAGAAACAGTGCACTTCCGCATGGTAGCGGAGCCGTGACGTCGATTCTTTAAGTCTCGACCGAGCTCCAGCGCGGATTTGGACCCCAGGGTTGACCTTCGCCCGCGCCGAGCGACCATATAAGCTAGTGTGGCAGTTCTCGCAATCTAAGCTTGTGTTGATTTGGAGGCCGAGCGTGAACTCCACCATCGATCTTGACCTTGCCCCCATCTTGGAAGTTGAAGAGGTGTTTGAGGAGTTGGCAGAGGGCAGGAGCTGGCATGACTGAGCTCACTCAGGCCTTGATCGGTGCTGCTCAAGCGGCCACCCTTGCCGCTAGTCAGGCTGCCCAAGCTACAGCTAGTCAGAGCTCTCCTGCAGGTGGAGGTGATGCTGGTGGGTTGAAGAAAGATTTGGCCAAGTTGATCCCACGACCGCAAGTGTTCAACCCCGCTGACCGTGAACAGGAGGTTTTACAGTGGAGAGATTGGTTTTGGAGTTTGAAGCAATATTTGGTAGTTGTTGATGGAGCATACCAAGAAGAACTGGAAAAGATGGAGACCAATCCCACTTCAGAGTATGACTGGGACTTGATGTCAGATGAGGACCAGCAAAGAAGCCGCTTCTTGTACTCCCTGTTGGGAGGATTGATCCAAGGAAGGCTGGTCGGAGTTCTGAAGACCGTGGACAAGTTCAATGGCTATGAAGCGTTGAGGCAGCTCCTTGGAAACTGCCAACCACAGGCGAGGAATCGTACTATGAACTTGCTCCAAGGGATAATGGCCTATCCCCAGTTCAATATGAAGAACTCACTCCTGCCACAGATTTTGAAATTAGAGGAGCACTTCGTTCAGTATGAGCGCCTTGGAGGAGGAAAGTTGGCTGGAGACATGAAATCCGCGATCCTCCTAAGGTCAGTGGGAGGTCAGATGAAGACCCACCTGAACATCACGTTGAATGAGGGCAGCAGTTACAACAAGATCAGGGAGTCCATCCTAGCCTTCGATACAGCTACAACAAGATGGAATGAGTCAGCTGCCCTATCCTTCTCAGGAATGAGCCCAATGACGTTGACGACTGATGGTCCGGTGCCCATGGAAATCGACCGGGTGCAGAAGGGAAAGGGCGGAAAAGATCCGAAGGGAAAAGGAAAGGACTCGAAGTCAAAAGGAAAAGGAAAAGATGAAAAGGGCAAAGGCAAGAGCAAGAATGGGAAGTTCGGCGGAGGAGCAAAAGAAGGTAAAGGCAAAGGAGCCAAGGACAACAAAGGGGGCAAAGGAAAGGGCAATGGAGAAGTTTGCTGGACGTGCGGAAAGCCTGGTCATCAGGCGAAAGACTGCTGGCGGGTGAGGCAAGTTGAAGCACCAGCCACCCAGAGTGTTGCAGGGTCAAGCCAGCATACTACGTCACCATCGACCACCACAAGTGGAATTGGTGGCGGAGGAGACCAGAGTACGTCAGCAAAGTCAATTCGAAGAGTTTCACAACCAGCTGTTTTTGATTTGCGAGAAGCTTCAACAGGTGGTTCAATTCGAGTGGTGCAGGAAGTGGCTGTGGAGTACTACAGCATCTTCACGGACGAGGAGGATGACGATGAGCAAGCGGCCTATGTGGTGAACACGGTGCATGAGAGAAGGGAAGATAGTGAGGAGAGTGAAAGTTTGGTGGAGGACGGCATCAAAGGCCCTTCAATGGCAGTGATCGTGGATTCAGGAGCGGACGCATCCTTGTTCCCTGGCTTCATGAGGGAGATGGGAGAGGAGTCGTCTGGTGGAACACCCCATTTGCAGGACGCCCAAGGGACCAAGATCAAGACCTATGGAAGTCGAGATGTGGACATCATCTTGTGGTCTACAGAAGGTCGCCAAGTGGTCTTGAAGGAGAAGGTCACATTCAGTGATTGTGTGAGTCAGCCGATCATCTCCTACGGAAGACTCATGAAGAGTGGGTGGTCCTTGGATGCGAATTCGATGTGTTTGACACATGGAGAGTTGGAGGTGCCGTTGACGTTTCAGAACCAAAGCCTAGTGGTTGATGCCAGTATCAGGACCATCTCCAAGCCACAGGTGATTCGCACGTTGGCAGTCCAGCTCGAGGAGGAGTTGCAGAGGACTTCTGAAGAGTACTATGGATGGAGAAAGAAGGGTGACTATTGGTTGGGACTGCATTTGGGACGCTCATACCAAAGCCCTCAGTTTATTCCAGGTTTCCGAAGTCAAGATGAAGGGTTCTGCCGGTCCACCTTGGTGAACAGAGGAGGACAATGGGAGTTAGTCGAAATGGCTGAACCTCTTGATAGCCTGGAAGACCAAGAGGAGGCGATTGAAGAGTTGAAGAGTGAAGAGATGAGCAGAATTCTCACGTTCATTGCCAAGGAGGGCATGACCCCAGAGAACTTTGGGTTTGAGCTGAGTGAGGGCTTCAAGTGGTACAAGCCCCGAAGCGAAGAGATCGAAGATCATGCTATCCCAGAGGCCGAAGAAGCTGAGGAGGTTGAAGACATGGAGATTCCCAGTGGAGAGCAAGCTGAAGGGAGAAACCTCGATGATCAGCTCGTGAGGTTTGAGGTTGGACCAGCTTTGCCGAGTCACATTACAGTCAACGATGTGGTCCTTACATTGGAAAGTCCCTTGAGGAGTTTGAGAGCAGCCTGCTCCTACTACAAGATAGGCCAGAGTGGAGGAAAGAAGAAGTGCTTTGGTAGGTTGCTCGAGCACCAGAACAAGATGGAGTTGCTGCTCGCGAAAGACTTGGCAGCACAAGCAGAGGCATTCGAGAAGCGCATTCCTGTGGAGCAAGCAGTGGCAAAGGAGCCTACAGAGGAGGAGAGAAGGCAACACCAGCTGACTCACCTCCCATATGCCCCATGGTGTGCTTCTTGCCTCAAGCATCGAGCACGGCAGGACCAGCACAGGAGGACAGGCAGAGCTCGTGAACAGGGATGCCCGACGATCTCATTTGACCTGTGCCATGTCAGAGCCTCAGGGTCTGGAGCATTGGGAGGAGAAGAGCAGGAAGATAAGGCACAGCTGGGAGTGTCAGATGAAGGAGGAGCGTTACTCCTGGTAGCTGTGTGCTCACAAACAGGATACTTGTTGGCTTTGCCGTTGAAGTCAAAGGGGCAACTGGCATTGATCACCCACGACTCGCCTTCACGCAGATCTTGGGGCATGAGGAGGTACAGTACTACTCAGACAATGAACCTACTCTGAGGCAGGCACTCAAGCTCCTAGTTCAATCGAGGTCTGCATTTGGGCTGAAAACGACCATGAGGACAACTCGGATCTACGATGCAGCTGGGAACAGTTTGGTTGAGAATGCCATCCAACGGATCAGGAATGTAGCTGCAACCCTCATGGAGAGCCTTACAGAGTCCACAGGCCTTCGCTTCAGCAGCCAGCATCCACTGTGGACATGTGCATGCCGACATGGAGCTTGGTTATTGAATCGGTTCCAACCCTTTCAAGGCTCAACAAGCTATGAGCTATGTCAAGGTCGGGCCTATGAGGGAAAGCTGTGCGAATACGGAGAGATCTGCTTTGCTTACTCAAAGCCCAAGCAGGGATTCAAGGCAGACCCGAGATGGAAAGTTGGGATTTGCCTTGGAAAGACAGAGATCCAGGACGCTTGGGTGATCGGTGATGGCAATAGAGTTTTCTTAAGCAGATCATTGAGGAGAGTTTCCAATGCCAACCAGAAGTACTTGGCCTGCTACCAGAACTTCACGGCTTACTCTTGGGAGTTCCAGCAGAACTTTGGAGGACGAATTGTACCCTCCAAGAGGCTAGCAGCTATGGTGACAGGGCCGATGGGAGTTCCTATGCCAGTGAGCAAGGCCATAGCAAGTCACGATGAGGACGCCTTGGATGTGCTCGCCTTTACAAAGACCTTGGCAGGAAAGCTTGAGGAGGCCCAAGATTTGGTAGCTGAAGAAGAGAGGCCAGTTGAAGTTGGCAGCCCGGGAGAAGAAGAAGAGAAGAAGCTGGCCGAGGAGAAGAAGAAGGACTACGTGGAGGATGAAGTCCAGGAGTTGATTCCAGTGAGAAACCCAAACCAAATTGATGAAGGCCGGAACCAGGCAGGACCTTCAACAGTGTGGCCGAGTACACCAAGACCAGAAGCTCAGAAGGGTGCTTTGAGAGGAAATGAGGAGGAACCCGAAGGAAAGAGATTCAAAGTAACCTTCGAGAAGAATATCCACAGTTTGGATCAGGATGCACCCGAGGCAAAGAGATTGAAGCAAGAGGAGAAGGTGCAAGAGGAGAGACGGGTGGAAGCCACAGAAGTTGAAGGAAGGCTTTACTACCACATGGACAAGGTCATTGAGGAGGACTTTCTGGAATGGGAAAATGAATGGGCGTTGGAGGAAGAAGAGTCCCTTCAAGACATTCCAGATGAGCTTTGGTCTGACGCTCCATTGGATAGAGTTCCACCTGACCCTCCAAAGTGGGTTGACGACCTGGCGAATGAGGTGGAGGAAAGGAGACTACAGAAGTTGGGAGTTTTGGTCCCAATGGATGAGTTGAAGCATGGTTACAAGAAGCTAACCACCAGGTTCGTTCATGACTGGAGGGCGAAACCAAGATCCAAGTTGCCGGGAGCACCAAAGCAGTTCTTGAGGAGATCGAGAATGGTAGCAAGAGAATACGCCACAGATCGAAGAGATGATGTACACAGCCCAGCCAGTGGAAGCCATGCTTTGAGGTTGATACCCACTCTGTACCTGATGAGGAAGAAGGAGATGGAAGATGGTGGCCCACAGGTTCAGCTTGGTGCGCTGGACGTGAAGGATGCCTTTCTGCAGGTACCACAAGATGAACCAACTCAAGTGACAACGGCCACGGGACATTTTGAAGTCCGCCGAAACCTTCCAGGACAGAGGATTGGGGCAAAAGCTTGGTTCGATTATTTCACGGGTTATTTGAGTTTTCGAGAACGAATCCATGCTTGGGCAAGCTCTCCAACAAGATGACAGTGTTGATCCATGTGGACGACGTCCTATATCTTGGAGAGGAGGAGTACGTTGTGAACGACTTCTTGCCAAGCATCAAAGCAAGGTTTGAAATCTCGGAACAGCATCTAACTGGTCCTGGCAGCTCCTTCCAGTTCTTGAGGAGGACGTATGAGGAGACAGAGACTGGGCTGAAGGTCCACCCTGGCAAATATGCCCAAAGCATGGTGGAGATGTACGAGGAGACCATGGGACGTGCAAAGGTTCAATCCCTACCATGCAGCCAGGAAATGCTTGAGGCTGATGGCACAACACAGCTGAGGGCAGATCTTGCGAGTCTCTATAGATCTTTGGTTGGATGTGGAATATACCTTTCACAAGAGCGACCAGATGTGTCCTATGTGATCAAGGAGCTTGCAGGGTCGATGTCATGCCCGACAACCGGAAGCTTGAGGAAGCTTGGAAAGTTGGTTGGTTATTTGAAGAATACCATGGGCCAGTACACGATGCTGGAGATTGAAGAGCCGGGATCAGGACTCGCTACGAGGACAACGAAGGGCAGATGGCTGCTGGAGACGTTCTCGGACAGTGACTGGTCAGGGTCCAAGAGCCACAGACGTTCCACGTTTGCAGCAATCCATGTGGCCAACGGAGTGGTGGTTTTCACAAGCTCAAGAGGACAGAAAAGTGTGACGTTGAGTTCTGCAGAGGCTGAGCTTAATGCATTGGTTTCAGCAGCAGCAGATGGAATCTACCTGAAGAAATGCCTCGAGTTCATTACCGAGGAGGAAGTGATCCACCATTGTCTAGTTGACAACTCAGCAGCACTCCACCTATGCCATAGGAAGGGTCCCGGAAAGCTTCGGCATATCTCGGGAAAACTGCTGTGGATACAGGATTTGGTGGCACAAGAGGAACTACAAGTAAAAGCAGTGGGGACAGTGTACAACATTGCTGATCTTGGCACAAAGCCCCTCACCAAGAATCGCATCAGCTTGATTCTCCATTGGTGCAATGCCCGAAGATGTGATGGAGAGAGATTGGGCCAGGAGGAGCATGGCCGTCTGCAGGAGATGAGTGTAAGCCAAGTCAAAATTGGCAAGCTGGCGAAACTACTCAATAGAATCCTGCTACTTGAGGGCCTTGGGCAAGTGGCCGGAGTAAGGGACGACGCCTTGGAGATTGAGCCCACGGAGAATGCTACTTGGTGGTGGTGGTTCTTCATCATCATGATTGTGGCGGTGTTGATCTTAATCGTGATTGGCACGATGGTGATGATGTGGAGGCGCATCAAAGCGCTTGAGACTGTGATCCAGCAGATGAAGGATGATAGTCATGTTGATGTCATGACCCAGGGGGCGATGACATATGAGGTCGAGGAGAAGGTGAAGGAGGTCAGCAAGGAAGTGAAGGATTTGAAGACCTATACACAGCAAATCCACAGAGGATTGGTGAAAGCTTCAGGATATGTAGATGCAACAGAGTTCCAAGAAGGAGATTGGAAGCACTGGAACTACCTACAGCACAGCAATCGAGAATTTGATCTTCGGAGAATGGATGCCCAAGTCAAGGAGTACCTGAAGGCAAAGCAAGAGCGAGATGAGGAGTTGGATGAACAACGAATCCCGTTGGGCAACCCCAGTCCACAGCGGGAGGAGAGTGAGAACGATGATGACGACGTCATTGAGGGTGAAGAGACAGTCCAGGTTCGACTGGATTCAGGAGAGGTGGTAGAGATACCATTGAGGTTCATCGAGCCGCGTGAACCCGAGAGTGAAGGAGATGTCGAGATGACAGATGCACCAGCAACACCACAAGTCACAGCACCAGAAGAAGAAGTACTGAGAGAAGAAGCCCGGATGCCTGAGAGTCGTGAAGACCCAACCATCAGCAAAGCTACAAGCGGTTGGATTTCAGGCGTAGAGCTTCGTAGGTTGACGGTTTTTGACAAGGCTGCAGCACGCTCGTGTCTCAGGGCGAAGCAGCATTTGATGAAGTGTGAACAGGAATGGTGGAAAGCAAACCAGAACGATGATCATGAGAAAAAGTATGAGATTTACGAAAACATGGACCGACACCATGAGTTTCTGGATTGCGACGATCTACCCTTTTGAAAGTTGAGGCATGAACACGCCAACTTAGTTCAAGCCTCAAAGGAGGAGTGCGAAAATGCATTCACTCATACATACCGATAACCGCAGGCCCTTAGTGCTGAGAAACAGTGCACTTCCGCAATTACCCAGTCGTACCCCATCATTCTATGACAACCCACTTGCCCAGTTGTGAGAAAGTGTTTCTTTTGGGCTAGCATCACCATGTCCCACGATGCCGATCTGTACAGATGGGGGGACATGCTAAAACTACTACCTCCCACACACTGGCAGAACAGCCGGCTCCATGGGACCGGCTCCCACGCATGCGTTCTCTTCGAGCTCTCCCGCAGGCGTATATCGTGGAGAACCCCTCGAGCGTGAAGACCCTGTGCTTCCTCATTGGGCTGATCTTGATGATCTTTAGCATCTTGGGCGTGATCAACCCCTTCGGAGCCTTCAGCCGACCGGGGGAGTACTTGGCCAATATCTACAACGTCTTCTTCGGGGATGCCTGGCTATTTATGCGCAAAAATGGCACATGCTATGCGCATTTGTCCGTTGTTCGAGGTCATTTTGAAAGGATTTGGGGTTTCTAGAGGAAAGGCTTCTCGTCATTTCTCGTCCGTCAGGCTTTGTGTGTCCCTTTCTGTGATTGGTAAGGTCATCATTTGCATCTGCGATGGGAAAGAAGACTGGATGAGGGCCTGCGGTGACGTTCAAACAAAGCTCTTCCAACGTGCCTTCTTCTTAGCAACGCCCACTGGGAAAGCGTTCTTCTACTTCTATGTCGGCTCAATGACCATTTTGATGCTTCCGGAAGGCATGGCCGACAAGACGCGGGCTTAGCTCAACCTTTGTGTCCTCAAGTGGGTGCGTACCAGTTCGCCAACTGGCCGTCGACGGTCCGACTGACGATGAAGCAGCCTTTGGGGTACCGGGTAAGTTTCTTTCATCCGATTTCATTGGTTATGGGTGTTTGGATGTGTTTGGGCATGGTCATGTAATGGGGGGCGGGTCCAAGAAGCCCTCCCTCGCGCATGACGAGTCTGTCTGTGGTGTTGATGATGCGTGCTGCACGCGGCTCGGAGGCATTTGGTCGGTCATCTACATCATCTTGGGCTCATGCCTGAGTCTTTTGGCGCTTGTGCCTTGGTGTTTCCACCTCAGCAGCTTTTTGTTTCTGCCACACTTGAATGGAGCCTGGAGGGGGACAGTCTGAATGAGGCATATATGTATGTGCGGGCTGGAACATGATGTTCATCTACCTTTGTGTGTGAGAGTGTTTGTTATGAATGGCATGATTTCCTTGGTTCAAGCGCAACTCATGCATCATGTCACAAGCACCTGTGAATGTGCTGTATCGTGCCGTTTGTTGTGGAAGCTCAGCTCATGTCTGTAGCTTTTTCAATGTAGCCTTTTCAATTTGGATACTTCTTGTCCCTCGACGTTGACGTTGACTACTTTAAACAAAATAAAGCTTTTCTTGAGACGCGGTGAGCTCGGTGCATCTATAAAGGTCATGCTGTTCTTCCAATATTGCGGTGGCTATTGCGGCAGCGGCTATGGTCAAATGGCAGCCGGGGGGTCATCTGGACAGCTCTGAGGTCCAGCACAGGATCAGGGTGGGGCTAGGTTCTAAGGTTCTAAACAGCTCGCTGAACACCGTAAGTAGTTCATAAGGTGATGGGACTAGCTGGGTCACAGAGAGGTCACCAAGTCACCTTTTGAGGTCACACCAGGTCACACCCTGACATCGGACCGAACATCGCACTGCATCACTGTGGGGCCGAAGAGGCCCCGGGCCCTCGCGCCGTCGTCCACGGAGCACCGGCGGAGGGAGAAAAAGGACGGTGGAATGTCCAAAACACGGGACTGCGGCTCTTTTTGGGCCCGGTGAAACAAGGCAGACCCAAGTTCACTTGGATTTCTTCTCTCTTCTCCCACTCTAAAAGTTTAGTGCAGAACATTGCAAGATGATTTTCGTTTGCACTCTTTGCCACTTTGCCACGGAGCCAAGCAGGTACAACGATTGCAGCAAGCCGCCTTCGCGTGTGGCACGGGCCAACGCATGAGTTTCAGGCGCCTCCACGGAGGAATTCCGTGCTCAGGATGACACATCAAGCATAAGCATATATTATACTATATTATCCGATATTATTGGGAATCATTTGAGGTTTGGTGCTTGGCAAGGCTTGTTAACTGGACTAGGTGACTAGGGAAGAACATTAATTGGTGGGGCTTCTCACGTCAAGCTGTGGATGAGTTTGCAGGGGAGGGTTTATTGTTTGCACCAGACAGACGCCGCAAGGCCCGTGCCATGGTTTGGGTCTCTGTATATGAGCCAGCTTTCATTCGGGAGTTTGTCCGGGGGGGTAGATGCAATCTCTACCAGTACTGTAGAACTAACACAAATTTTTCGGGAATCTGGAAGTGGTTGCACACCTTGATCTTGCGCAATGCCTGAAGGTTGTCAGATGGAAAGCCATCGGAAGAAACCTTGCGGGATGCTATCACGTGGCTTGGGTGCAGGCATTTGAATAGGTGCCCAGGGAAGATCAATCTGTTTGGCCGTTTTGGGCAATTGAACTTTGGGATTTGGTCTTTGAGGCTTGGCAAGGCCCAGCAGGTGTCCTTTTCATCCACTGCAGTGATTTGAATGGCCAGCGACTGGCAGAGAGTTGTGGAGTAAAATGAGCGAATCTTCACACTGCCGCAACCTGTCCTTTCTTAGTTGGATCAGAGGAGGACAGATGCTTGTTTGCGGATGTGTATTGTGTAATTATTTGCGGTTAAACCGCTAAGTCCCTGAAAGCTCTCCAACCGCATTATCCCTGAAAGCTTTCAAAATGGGAGTGTTTTAACAATGCAACTCTATAGCTACAGTATAGCGTTTGAAAGATTTCCTATATATGGACAGCTTCAATTTAGTTTGCACTGGCCATGAGAGCAAGCACGAAACATGGCGCTCCTCCTTCAAGTGCCAAGTCTTTTCTGGGTCAAGCTGTTGCCAGATACGACGTGGACGAGCTAGATGATCTGGGCAAGCGCTCGAAACGCGAGAGATATGTTGAAGTCAAGCGCCCCGACGGCACCATTGCCAAGGCCCGTGGCGAGCGTACCTTCTACGGTGCCTTTGAAGGTGGCTTCAGTGCTGGATATTGGAACACAGTTGGGAGCAAGGAAGGCTGGGAACCTGCCTCCTTCAGCTCTAGCCGAAGCAAGCGCCATGCAGATGCAGCTCCTCGAGTTGAAGACTACATGGATGAAGAAGACTTGCGAGATCATCGCTCCTCCCGCAAGACCATCACTGCGCGCGATGAGTTTGCAGCCCGGAACGACTCGGCCGGTGGGAAGGCGGGTTCAGCGGCGTTGACCACGGGTGTGTCCCATGATTTGGAAGAAGAGCTCTTCGGTGCCAACCGCTTGGGTACCCGTCTCCTGCGTGCCAGTGTTGTGCCTGTTCCAAGTCAAAAGGATGTGCCCAACTCGGCAGCCAGCGATACAGCACCCAAGAAAAAATCCTATGGGTGTGCTCCGCCACCTCCAGGCTACAGGGCTGGAGAAACAGCAGAGGGCAGCTTGGGCTTCAAGGTCGAAGAGCAAGGGAAAAGGCTTGCAGACTTCCATTCTTCTCAGGCTCCTTCGATGGAACCAGCTTTGGAGGCTGAGCTGGAACGACTGTGGCACTGCAAGAATGATTTGCAGGGAATTGGTTACTTCTTGGGAGCAGGCTTGGGCTCTGCGATCCCGAGCAATCGCAGACTCTACATGTCCAATGCACGTGGAAGAAACATGGCCTCAACCACAAAAGCCATCGGTTACTCGCAGTTCGGAACTGGAGTTTTGGACCAGGATGAGTATGATGCCTGGGAGGAAGTCTACGAGCATGAAACCGATAAACGCATGCACTACCATGCGGCTTTGAAGGATGAGTCAGTGGAGGACGAACGGTTTTTGTTTTGTTTTGTCCTTATCACTCACATCATTGGTTTCTCTAACTTTAACATCTTCCCAGCTGGGGCAGATGATTTTTCACAGCTTTTGCCCAGCAACAGTGCAACAGTCGTGTTCTGGTTGAAGAAGAGATGTATCCTGAGGAGGAGGCCCGTTATGCCCTGGAGAATGGCCCACAGGTGACGGGTGTGTCCACGGTCGCTGGCTTTGTGAAGGCGGAGCGGCCAGACCGGGACCCTTCGGACTTCTCTCGGTGGCATCCACCACCGGTGCCGCGTCAATACAAAGGAGTCCACCTGATTGATGTATCTCCCTTGCAGGAAGCACAGGAGGGAAGCTTGATTGATACAAGCAGGGGATTTTCATCTAATTACTTGGCTTTAGGTCCGGGGCAAATCCAACCCTTATAATAGCAGTCTTTGCCGGGCAGGCGGACCCAATTTTGGGGGAATTTGGCATCTGGCCGGCCCCCAACCATTGTTGATCACACTAAGGGAGCGAGGAGCATCGAAAGCTGCTGGAGTTTCAAGACAAGCATGGCCGGCAGAGGCTCATGGATCCGTCCTTCCGTGCGCAACTCCTGGGCGAGCAGACCCGGATCCCACCGGACGCCGCGGCTCCGGCGGCACCAGCGGCAGCTCCGGTGGATGCCGCGACTGCGGCGCAACGGTCCGCGGAGCCGCTGTGGCAAGCGGTGCCGGAGCACCAGAAGCAGAATCTGCTGAACGCCTTGGGGAGAAACTTTGTGGTGGGTGCCACGCAGGATATGGATGGCAAAGCTGCCCGACATGAACCCTTCAAGAGTGCTGCTTGCCGAGCCAATTATACCTTACAGTATATTTTCTTTAATGTAGCACTCTTTCTTGGATCCAGGGTTTCAGAGGTCGTCCTCCAAGCAAGTCCAAGATATGATCTCTTCCAGTCTGACCAAAGAAGACCTGAGGATCCGAGCAAACAAAAGCGCTACGCCAAGTTCTGCTTGGCCATGGAGGGGAAGGCAGCCTTCTCCGAAGCGCTCCAGGCAGAGCCGTCCCTCAGCGAGGCACAACGCGAAAGCGAGGTTGTGGAATTTGGCCGCGTCTACCGGTCCTTCAGGCAGCAGCATCCGAATGAAGCTGGTCATTAAGAACAGATCAAGATTCCAAACAGTTCTATTACTACTGTTTTTGTTTTTCCTTTATGTTTGACTGTTTGGAACCTTGAGGGCTTTTAGGAAGTGTAGTCCCAACAGGGCGATCACATCCCTAATAGATTTGGGGTCGAAACCATCAACCAGGAAGATATTGCTAAAGCCTTGGAGGAGAAGACTTGCACAGCTTCAGCCCCTGTGGTTCGCAGGACAGTCACACCGTGGGTGCCTGACAAGCTGCTTTGCAGGCGTTGGAATGTGCCAGAGCCAAGGCCAAGTGGCTTCAGCGATCGCCCAGCTAATGAGCCCAAGAAGCAGCAGCGAAGTTACAATGACCAGGTGAAGGCCAAGGAGGCCAAAGAGGGGAAGCCCAAGCCTGAGGAGGCACAGAGCCAACCAACTGCAAATCCTGCTCCAAACTTGGAAGTGGCTGCCAGCGGTGAGCTGACGCGCCCACCCAAGCCTTTGTTCACGTCAATCTTCGGAGAATCCGACGATGACTAGCAAGCCCCGGTCAAAATCGCGGACTTCGAAGCAATTTGGGTAGATTCCTGTTTTGGGGGCAGAAGTGGCCAAAAAACACAATGAACGGCAGAATGGAGCTAGTTTCGCACAAACCCAACTTGGTGACTCAGGCGCAAGACCAAGGGCGCTGCGCAGGGGCAGGTGGGGCGCTGCCCACGGGGGAGCAGGCTGCGTGATGATCTGGCCCTAGGCCCTACTCGTAGTGGATGAGATGAGACGAGAACCAGGGTGGTCTCCCCATCGTTTAGGTCTTGAATTATGTCACCTTCGATTGGTGGTGACCATGGGTAACCAGATCTCAAGTCGGCAATGTCCAACGGTCCAACGCTATATACGTTTTGTGTTTCTCAAAGTGAACAAGAGTTATAGAGCGGTATATTTCCGTGCCAATGTCCAGTATCGTTTATGTGCATGTTTTTAGATGGGAATGCCTTAGGCTTGTTGCGACACAGGAAAAGATCATGAGCGGCAAAGTCTCCGCTTGGGTGGCTCCTGTCCGCGCCCCCAGAGAGGTTTCTTAGAGGGCAGCTCTGCAAGTGGATTGGCCGCGGTGCCCGACTTTTAGACATTGTGAAGGAGTTTGACATGTTTAGCTCTTTTGCCCCAGCTGGTGCAAGACTAGGCTTCCTTTTTCAGCTTCTCATTTCTGAAAGGATCTATCTTCAATGGCCCTCTTGAAAGAGCAGTTGAGTATGTTGTGGTGGCCTCTTTGCTGGTTCGCAGAGATATCACGCCGGCCAAACTACAGGCAACCACTAGACCAAGCGGACGACAGATCGACAGGGCGGGACATGGGCGGGACTCGAGCCCTTGCGCTATGACATGAAGACTGAGACGTGCGAAACACGCAAACACACACACACACACACACACTCTGGGCCACATCGGCGGAAACGCTTTGCCTGCCAGAACATTGGTGGTGGAACTTCAAGACCATTTGTGGTTCTCTAAGTTATCGCTCATTGGAAGTTGGGTCTCTGGCTTCATCACGCGCCAAGTCCTTCAAGAACCCGTTCCGAAGAAAGACACCGTTTTTGTCGATGGCTTTTCCACCACTGCAATTACATGGGCCTCTTGGATTCCGGCTCTGCAATCCGCAATGGAACCTTTGAGCCACCGCTTCTTGCTGCCCCTTGATGAGGAGGAGGGGGATCAAAAGCACATGAGGGGGGGAGGAACACCAAGGCTGCCATCGGGGAGCATGGTGGATTTGGGCACCTCCGGATGCCGTCCAGTTCGGGGGGGGGTGGATGAAATGCGTTCGCCGAGCCGGGCAAGCCGGAAACGTCTTCATCGCATCAATGACGGTCTTCGATGCAACCCAACCATTGCCGCGTTTCATCACCGTGGTGGTCTGAAAACAAGATGTTTCGAACCATTGCTGGGCGTTTTTCGTGCCACCAGGAGGGCTACGATGATTGGTTTGCTGCACCGCCGAGGCGGAGACATGAATCTGCGCTGCGTCGGGGAGGTTTGTGGGAGTGTTCCACCAGAATCAGAATGAGGGTACCTCCATGAGAAGGAGATAGCTAACCAAAGCTTTTAGATCAATCAGTTTCAAAAGGCTCCAAGGACTGGGTCCGAAACTAGCCGAAGGACTAGGTGAGTTGCTCCGGATGTGGAGAGCTTCCCGCTCATGGATTCACATGCAACACGGGATGCTAACAGTATTGGCAACAAGCCTATTTGCTTGTTGTGCTTCCAGGGTGGAGAGAGGAGAATTGAAGCCTTAACACGGACCCCTGCAACGCGGCACCCAAGCAAGACATCTTCATCACCTTTGAAGAGGGCAAGTCAAACCAAGGATGTCATTGGAAGATGATTTTCATGGTAACAAAGGGTGTCCCATGTGAAGATGAGTCGGGGTCGGGGTGTTTCGGGCTCTGGCGCAGGAGCCACCATTCCTCGGTCCAGCAACTCCCCTTTGTGGAGCGTGTGCGAGAGCATCGTCGCCCGGGGCAGCACCTTTTGAGGACAGACTGAGCATCGTCGGCGGTAGCTGCTACTAGAGCTGCACCTGAAGTCCATGGGAACCGCTTTCGTCATGAAGAAAGTCATTCAGCAAGGGTGGGCTGTATTTCCACTGAGCTGGTAGGCCCGTGCGGGGGGCACACTGTTTTTCATTGAGACACTCTACTCGTAGGGCGTCTCTTCGTACGTTTGTAACTCTGGAAGAATGGCATCAGATTCAGGGCCAGCTCCAAAGGGCTGCTGCATCTGTCAGGAAGAAGTCTTTCAACTCTCCATGCTCCAAAGATGAGCTACAACTCTGCATTACACTGGAGACCCCTGAGCAGGCGCCGGTGTGGGGATGGACCCTAGAGCTCTTTTCAGAGATGACCGTAGATGTAGTTCTACCAGACCTGGTAGAACCGTGGATGGAGGCAAGTCAGGCATTGCTTGCTGTGAAGCACAGTAAGCACAGTAGTTGGATGCCTTATTCTAAGTTGTCGATGAAAAGGGACCACTTCTTTGCACTATCTGAGCATGCCATCGGTTTACTCACGCAGATGTCTTTCCCTGTTGTGGGCTTCTCCGTGTCCACAGACAGAGTCGGGAGACACCCACAGACCACCCGACCCTTGAGAGAGGTTTACATACTTTGAGAGATGGTGAGCTGCGAGTCCTTCAGATGAGCCACCCAAGCTGACTCTCAGGCTGCGCGCCTAAGGCGGCAAGTGGCCGGCATGCGCTCGGGCATGGGCGGGATGCAGGCCGGTAGGGAGGCCGCTGGTGGGGATTGAAATGGCGAAGATCCAAAGAACAAGAAGTGCACAAACTTCCAAGGATGAGCGCTGCAGCAACAAATAAGGCATGCTCTAGAGTCATATCCCAAGGCCCATTGGTTCTTTTTCTTCTTCTTCCTCTTCTTTTTCTTCTTCTTCTTCGTGTACTGTAAACATGTGCATGATTCTAGCCAAACGCAGCATCCATTGCCCCAATCTTGAACCTTTTGAAGTTCCTCCATTCCATCATTTTAACCCTTTCACCAACACTTACATACATACAATTAAATGCTTGGCTGATGAAATCTCCATTTGCACACCAGTTTGGATTGGATTTGTTTGGAGCGAAACAGGCAATTTGTTGAATGACTACGTGGCTCATCCTCAATAAATGTTGGACAGGAACTCCTTTTGGAGCAGTTCATCGTGCCTTGGCATCCAGACGGGTCTGACCTTTTTGCTTTCCACACTTGCGATTGGTTGGGGAGCGACGGCTTCCCAAAGGCGTTTAGGGTAGAATGAGCTAGATGAGTACACAGTATTAGAATGAGTGTGTTTTGTATGCTTTTGCTGTTGTGCTTGCTTTCATCAATCTTGGGACTTCAAGAGTGTTTCCTCCCAAGCTTGTTTCATCCAAGATCTTTAGCTACAGTCTGTACAGCGTTCATCCTTGCTGTATTTTTGGGGTTGATGTAGAACATGCATGGCACCACCGAGATTCCTGTCCTTCTTCCTGTCCAACACTTCTTCTGCAGAGTTGATGTTTTTTGGTGGTTTGGTTTTGCCCCACTCGTGCGACGCAAGGGGGGTGGGCCACATGTCCCCAACGACTACGGCGATCACTTCGACCGAGGAGAAGGACTACGGCGATGACCTTCTCTTGCTCACGGCCACGGAGCCAGGCGGTTGCGGGGGGAGCCGAGGGCCAGGCGGCTGCTGAGCCAGGCGGCGTCGGTGAAGCGGACCTGGTGGATGCCATGCCCAGAGCGCCAGCCCTGACACTGGCGAGCTTCCAAGGTCATGAGGTGGTAGATGGTTTTCCGTGGCGCAATCAGAAGAGGCAATCACAAGGAGGACCGAATCTATATAGCTTTATATAACACTAAACACTTTCTCACGATTTCAACGTGTCCCTCTGCACGGTTTCTGCATTCTGGGAGTTATATTCGGTTCGAGGCAACTGCTGAGAGGCATGAGCAGGTTCCAAGACTCGTCCCCATTTCTTGGGGCGCTGATGCAACTCATGGGCTCATGGCTCATCCAAGTGGTGCTTTTTCAAGTTATTCATCAACTGCACTCGATCAATCGCCTATTGTTCACATGGCCATGTTCAAATGTAGAAAGATAGTGAGAGCGATGACATGTGAGAGAACTGCACACTGTAGAGGCATTCAATTCCTCAGCATGGAACATGTGCAAAGTTGGCATATCATATACGTCTTCAAAGCAGAGCATTTCTGTTTGCATGCTTGGGGCATTTCCAGAACATGAATCGGACCCATCCTCTCAAGAATCTATGTCGAATATTGCGATGATCCGACAACCATGGCAGAGTTGCACAATTTATCTTGCACAAGGTCCTACCCAAAGTTGGACTCTATCACCTCCCGTGTGGCCCTGGTGTTGGCGTGTTGTTGGCGAGCTCCACCCCAACCCAACACACGGAGTGCCCCAGGTGGCCGCCTGGTAGGACTCATCTTTTGGAGATATTTGCGCTCCACGGACGATGAGTTCTGGCACCACGTCATGGTCGACTTGGGCAACTTGGTGAAAGAGTTAGGGTTGTTGGGGCTGTGCCGGGGTAGACGGCAAACCATCCGAGTGTACGTAGAGTCATCAAGGCGTCAAGCTTGGCATCTTCAAAGGTCACAGAGGATCGACTTGGCCAGTCACAGCCTTCCAGTGACTTCTCTGGCACGAACCAAACCCGGTTCTTCTTGGAAGCTTCGTTCACGCTTCGGTAAACGCTTCGCTTTGTTCGTGCTTGGACGATCTTCGGCCCAAGCAGAGTTATAGTCACGGTGCACCGACCCACCGGAGGGAAGCCATGGCGAAGCATCATCCGGACCTCATCATGTGCCGCAAGCAGTGTGGCATCGCCATTGGCCGTCTTTGTGAGAAGTGTGACGGGAAGTGTGCCTAGATTGAAACCATTGCCAGACTCTTTCCACCAGTTTCCACACAATACAGGGGTGAACATAGAAAGAGTATAGTAGCTTCTTGCTCCGTTCGTAGCGATGCCAGGAGCCCCGTTCGCAGCCTTCTTGCTCCGTTCGTAGTAAGGCCAGGAGCCCCGTTCTATAGTAACTTAGTAGCGTCCGATCGCTCCGTTCGTAGCGATGCCTAGCTCCGCTATGCCGAGTTCCGCTTCCACGGGCTCCCCCGGACTCCATGGACTCCCCTCGGTGATGACATGATATGGTGTGCCCCAAGCAATGCCAACCATATTGGACTCAAGAACGCGGCAAGCCTAGTTTTGAAATGAGCCTTGCTTCTGCAGCGTTTTGGATAACTCCGCTTGATCCCTCCACCCTGAACAAAGCTCATTGACCGCGGTGGTCCTCAATGGTCAGTTTCTCAGCCCCAACCTGGTGGCCATGTCGCAGGTGTGATTTGCGACTCCTACGTGCGCCCCTCGCAGCTGGCGCGTGTGTGTGATGAGTGCAACTATGGAAGCTATCAGGGCCGCTGTGTCATCTGCGGGGGTGCCGGTATCTCGGATGCCTTCTACTGCAAGGACGCACAGAGCAGTCGCTTTTGAAGCATGAGCGAGGCGACCAAGGTTTGGAAAGGTCTGGTTTTGTTTGCTTGGTTTTAATTTAGTACCGCAAAGCCACTAGGAAAGTGGGCCACTATAAGGTCCCTCGCAAACACTTCCAGTGTGGTGGGTAGAGGGTCTCTTTGAGGCACGGAAAACGCCGGTGCCAAGTTGGGGACGGGCTCCAGGAGTGCTGCCAATGCGAGAAGGACCGGGACGGGTGCCCGAAGATCGTGAACCTGGGCACAGCACGGACAGACCTCTTCTACGAGCGTCTCCTGTCTGCAGGGGGAGGACGCATCGGGCCAGGAGGGCGTTGGTTCCAGGATGGGAACGCAATCAAGCTTCTTCAGACATACAAATAAGTACCGTAGCCGTTTACAGCGACAACGGAAATCAAAACACTTCAAGTGATTCACGTTGTGTTCTGCATGGTTTTCAGGGGTTTCGGTTCGATGAGTGGCATGTCACGGGAGTGGGCTTAGGCTTAGGTGGCTTTGCTTTGATTTTCTCATACAGTCCAAGGCTTTGGGCTCTTCGACTCGAGTCGGCTCGAGTCGGCCCTACTGAAGAACCTCAAAGAAACATATAGACACAAGACTTGCTATTAGAGGGGGGTTCCACGCAACAACACCACTCCAACCTCCAACCGCCCAAAAGCCCTTCAGCCCACCCACCAAAACCGAGGAAAGAAGTATGGCTTCAAGTCGCGTTGAGGCGGAACGGTGAACCGAGCCAACCACCGATCCGTACAGGCGTTGGGCCCGCGAGTTCGGAAAACAGGCGAGCGGTAAAATCGAGAGACCAGGGGAGATGTGGAGGCGAAGGATAGGGAGGTCGTTGAGAAAAGAGTATGAGAAGGGTGAATGATGTGGATGTGGAGGTTGGTGATTGTTACAGGGGGAAAGACCTCTCGTTAGGTGAATCATTGTGGCCCCACACCAAAAGAATTCTTGAGCGAAGCTACCAGCCTTCGTCAGCACCTGTGGCTGAGGCAGAGGGAACGCACCAGATGCAGGCTCGCAGCAGTTCGGCAGTCTGGGAGGGCACTGTCACCAAGTCTTGTTAGGAGCGATCCTACACCACTTCAGGTGACAAATGCTCCGGTATATCCAGAGACTTTGTTTGGGGTGATGGTGCAGAATCGTCGAGCTTACATGTGGAACAAGCATCGGTGCACAGGAGCTGGGCGTTTGGCGCTTCGCTGCTTGGCTGAGATGGTGGAAGCTCAGGAGGGGACGGGAGGCATTTTTCAGACACCCGCATCCTTGTCACCTTGACCCAACATTGAGGAAGATCCCTTTTCAAGCAGCCCTTTAATTTTGGCATATTTTGGGTTGGGGCAAGGTGGGTCCTACATTGCTTATGGCTACTATATTTGTTGTCGATATGCGGTCTGGATGAAGGAATGGCAATGCGAACTAGCATGAACCTATCCATTCTGCACAAGAGGGCACTTCTATTACTTGCATGGTAGGGGGCGCCTCAGGATTTGTTTGGGTCCAAGCCAACTCCACCGCCCCTTCCCTTTGGCCGGCTACTTAGCCCAGGCACCCCGCCCGACAGCTGGGTGCTCATTGAGCTTCTTTGCACGGAGGATGCGTTTCGAGGGCGCGGGGTTGGCAAGCTGCTCTTGGACGCTTGACGTTTTGCACCGGGGTTGATGGGGGGGCCACAGGAAGGACAAGATCGGTAGGTGGGTAACCCTGGACGAAGAAAACCAGCAAAAATCAACCCGCTTTAGGATGCTTTAGGAAGGGTTTGGCTTCCTTTTTCTAGGTGGGGAGTGGTGGTTTGGACGGGTGTAGGGTTTTTAAAAGTAAGCGATGCAGCAGCAGGATTTCCGCTTGGCTCACCCCCAAGACACTGGGAATCACTGGCATATTTTGATGAGATTTGTGGTTTGGAGAATCGTCAAGCCCGGAAATGACTAAATGCAAGGTAGGTCAGATGGCCCAAAAAGATCAGCGGCTGGGCTTCCTGTGAATTGAATTGAGTCACTTGACGACACTGAGTACCTTTGAATTCAGTACTCAGCGGCTTGTTCATGTGAATTCCGGGTACTGTATGGTGATCCTGGGCCAACTTCCCAAAGGTGGACCAGAATGCGGAGGTATAGATTGGCCAATTGATCTTCAGGGTGTGAAAGGTGTGCACAGGGGCTCGTGCAGTTGGCTATTGACAGGCAGTTGTGCAACCTTGCACCACAGCACGGGCCTCGCAAAAGTAGGAGAGCCTCAACGTTGGGCAAACTCGGAAATGGCCCAACTTATTGCTTTCACCAGGCGGAAACTCACAATCTTGGATCGTTAGCCTGCGGGCAGTTCTCAGAAGGATGACTCTTGGGGTTCGCACCCTTAAAAGAACCCTTTTCTCTGTCTAGCTGCCGCTTGACGGGTCATTTTGGGGGATGTTGCCCCATGCCACCAATCCTTTTTTCTTGTCCTCCAAGGTGGCTGCTCTTTCCTACTCAGCGGTCAAGGTGCCTGGTCGATTTACGCAAATGTGGGTTGCGGAGTGAGCGCAGAGAGTGGACATGTCTAGAAGCGCCCCTTAGTGACTATCGAGTGGTCGCCGGCTGCCCATATTGATCCTTTTGATAAAGGTGTCCTTTTAGTTGTTCTGAGATATTTGTTGGATCAGGTGGTGAGGAGCCAACTCCTGCTTTCTATTAGCCTCATATTCAGGCCCGACCTTTGCGTGAAGGCATCAGTGTTTGGGTTTAGTGTGTTCGTCAAGAATTGCTTCTGATCTTGGCCACGTTGGTTGGAGTCCTTGTTTCACAAAGGCGGAGCCTGACCGAGGGTTGCGGTTAGCTCACTGCCTCAGTAAAGCCTGGAATCCCCAAAAAAGGTCAACAAGGCCGAGACTCAGGCTTGGTTTGGCTAGGGCGAGCATAGTGTGATTGTGTTCATCCATTTGTGTTTGATGCACGTTCCTGCCGACTCATCCGGCAACTCCATTAGTCCAAGGCGAACAAGACTGCAGCTGTCTTGACGCTGGGGCGTGGCGACGCCAACCGCCCGGCGGCGCAGCTGTACCGGTGCCACGCCTGTGCCAAAAGGGAGCTCGTACCTATCGTTCACACCATCCTTGTTGATCCAAAAGCCGGGATGTGACAAACCCATTGCTGTAGAATTAAGGGCCGCGTGCCGCGCGCTAGGGCTCTTGACCACGGGTCACGGAGCAAAATTTCGGGGCCAGGTCTTCCAAGGAGGGGTAAGCATGCTTCAATAGGACGGAAACGCTGGACATCACGGCTAGCCGCTACCTATCAAACGTGCATCCACCAGTGAATCCTATCAAATGCAAAAAAGGTTTCGCAGTCGTTGACATTGAGGAGCCAGTGGCCTGCCCGAAACTAGAGATGGCACGGAGCTTTAAGAAGGATTACTTTTTCAGACAGAGTTTGGTCTCCCCAACCTCCTGGGCCCCTGAATCACATCGATGAAAGCCAGTCGTGGCTTTGCACGCAGGGAGTTGTGCGAATTCTGCGCGTCAATCTAAACTCACTCAGCGTATATAATAGTCACAACCTTTAACATCCTGTAACATTTCTGCGATTGGTTTTCCCACTAAACATGGCCGCAGGGAATTCTAGGTTCGCCGGTGAATTGTTAACCTCTAAGTTCCAGGGAAGCTGAGGGCGTCCTACTCGAATACGCGCGGGGAGATAACGGATACCATCACGTTTCTCGTGTTGAACTTTCTGGTGGTTCGACGGGTTAAAGCAAGGAGTGGCCTCCCCAAAGGCAGAAGTGAATGGCAGGACCCCCTGCCACATCCATGATGTTGGAGGGTAGATTCCTGAACAGGTCCGAGAAACCACACTGGGTCATTGTCCTCCAATTTGAAGGTCGCATTCTACCAACTCCCGTTTTCATGACAGTTGATCGCACATCGGGCTGGAAAGTATATCAAAGATTCCAGTGGAGACTCTTTGGGTTCCTCTTGTTTGTTTCGGAAACGCGGTGATTTCCTGCGTTTCCTCTTCGTCCTCCCTAACTGGCCACCCACTTCGTCCACTCCCGGCGGAAACGCGCGGCGCGAAGGCGCCTGGCCGGCCTAGGAAGTTGGGTTTTCAAGCGATGCCAGGGGAACTCTTCGAGCCAGAGGAGACCACCCGTCGGGCTGAAGTGTGGTGCGTGTGCAGTTGTGTGCGTGGCATATTGTGCATGGCATATTCCTCTAGGTGGGTGAGGCTAGGCAAGTAGTTGGAGTGCCAGGAAAAGAGCTTCAAGTAAACGGACAGAACATCAATCATCACATACAATGGTACTGTTGGTTGGTAGCATGAGTTTCGGACGCAAATCCATAAGTGTGTGTGCTCACTGTTGGCATGAATTATGATTCTACCCAGGCGAGCCCCGGGTGTGAGCTGCTGTCATCTCCATACGCTGCACTCAACCAAGACCCTCCCCTCACACCCTTCTTCCACCGCGCGGTGGGCGTGGGACCAGGACCAGGAGCGCTGGGTGGATCCGCGCCACGTGTTGGTGCTGTGGGACATCCGAAAGGGCTTGAGCTCGCTCTCGGTGGCCGAGGCAGATGACAAGGATGGACCTGCACAGCAGGTGATTTTCAAGCTGCAATTAGGTCCTCCCCCAAGCAGATTAAACGTGATAGAGCAGTCCAAAGTCCAAGATCAAATACGTTCTGGAAACCAAACGTATAGCGAGACGCGCCCTTGGCCACCGTGGTGATTCGTCATTAGTTTTGTTGGTGGTGGGGCATTTGGGAGTGAGACGTGGAAGGCCCGCACCCAATACAGAGGGAAGACATGTGTTGATTGAAGTCTTTTTCTTCCAGCTGGCAGAGAACCCCAGCACCCCAGAAGATTGACGTCCACCAAAGATTGCCAAGTTTGGAGCCCCTCGTGACATGGCTACAGAAATGATCCAAGGCAGTTGTTGGAGGAACCCATGCCACCGACACTAGAATCGCCTCGGGGTTGAAGAAATCTCATCCGACGGCAGGCCACAGCTGCAGCAAGCGCCCTTGCTCAGTTAGGAACTGCCGAGCTGGAGCAGAAAAGTGCGGGATTTCTGGTGCGGGGGAGGCGGTTTTGGCAGTTGCTGCAGCTCAGATTCAGGGATCTGTTGAAAGATACTTTTATGCCCTTGGCGCTCCACTTCTCCTGTTCCTGTAGAGTTGGAGCGAAAGTATGGTTGGAACGGGACATTGGAGCATAGAGGGCCAGATCAAGTGATTTTGATTCACTCGGACTCCGGAAGACTCTTCGGACTCCTGTGGAAATCCTTCGACCAAGGCTTGAAGTTGAGCTGGAGGTGGGGCACCTCTTTGAGGGTGCCTGCTATGGGGAGGCTGAGATGTGGTTGAGATTGAAGAGATGTGAACATGTACC